CAGGGTGCCAGGGCGAGGGGCTGAGACAGGAGGGGCTTGGCACAGGGTGCCAGGGCGAGGGGCTGAGACAGGAGGGGCTTGGCACAGGGTGCCAGGGCGAGGGGCTAAGTGCCTGACGAGCTCTGTGCCCGCAGGTTTCTCCCCCTTCCTGCCGCGTGTGGTAACACAGTTGCGGATTCCATGTCTTTTCTTGTAAGTAAACCCGAACGGATTAGGGTGAGTGTTGAAGACCTTCCAGCTTCCCTCAGCCGCCGGTCGGGACCGCCTGGCGGTTGTGCAGAGGGGCAGGGCCCGCAGAGCACCGGGAGGAGCTGCAGGGCAGGGCTTGGTGTGGCACCGGTGGGAAACACTTTGCTCACCTCTTTATTGCTTGCACACACACGAGTGTCTCCTCGGTGTGTGGAGCAGAGTTGCTGCAGTGGATCAGAGGGGAGGAAAAGGGGCATAATGCTGTTTATTTTCAACTTTTCTCTAAGGAGTGCCTCACCCCAGTCCCACCACAGCTGCTGGTTGTGTTTTCCTCCCTGAACTTACCTTGCAAAGCTAAGCACAACAGCTTTGTTTAGTCCTGTTTATTTCAGTGAGGAAGTTTCATGCAAGAAAGCCACAATTAAAAGTGTTTTAAGCCTTCTACATAACAATCCCTTTTTGGGTTTTGAGTCCTCAGCTTAAACCCTCCTTGGTGCTTTCTAGGACTGACTTGCCCAAACGCCACTAAACATCAGCTGATCTTTAAGTTAGATACATTGAAGTGGACAAATTCTGCCGTGGGGATTTGATTGCTTAATGCTAACTTTGTACTTAACACTCTGCAAGCCTAAAACTGCATATTCTGATGTGTGTTATCTGTATACACATACCTTTTAGTTCACTCAGAGCTGAGTGGTACAAACATTCCTCTGCACAACCTGATGCTTGCTGTGCACTTTGAGCATGAGTTCTTGAAGGGAATGACAGCTTCAAAATGCTTATGTTCTAGTTTTGCATTCAATCAGTAGATAAATAACCAAGGGATTTAATTTCAGTAGATATAGATAAATTATTTACATTCTCTGAGGTTTCACCTCATTGTAAATAGTTTTTTTCACACCTATTGCACCCAAGCAAACAACTTTTTTTTGCCTGCACGAGGGAGTTGCAGCTTGCTGAGGTTTTTTGCTGTAGCATGAGTGTTTTTTGCTGTATGTGCATGTCTAGAGGTTCTGGTTTGAGTGATTAAAATGATGTTAAGCTTTACTGCAAGTGCCCTTGGGTTGGGGACAGCAGCAGGACCTGTGTGGTTGTGTGCCATGGTCTTGCCCAAAGCAAGGATTGCACTGATGCTGCAGCTAACCAGTCTCAAACCACAGCAGAATCACTGAAATGCTGATTCTCTTGTGGTTTTTAGTGGGGAATGGGGAAAAGACACTTGTCTCTAAGGGGAATTACTGACTCTCTGGAGCGTTTTTGTCCCCTGCAGCGTTGGGTGTCCGAGAAGTTCATTGTTGAGGGCCTGAGAGAGTTGGAGCTGTTTGGAGGTAAGTTTTCCTCTTGCTAGATGACACTGTTAGACATGTTTTGGTTTAGCTGCAGGGGCTGTTAGTTTGGTAGTGAACACTAGCAGAGATGATTCAATCTGGTTATTCATGTCGGCTAAGCATAGGAATTGAACATGGAAGTTATTTGGACATCACTTCCATGCTGATGGCAGTGCAGTTTTAGTTCTGTATTAGCACAGCCACTGTTTTTTCCTATGCAAGAGAAAGAGATTGGGGGTTTGGGAATGTCAGTGGTAATTTTCTGAGTAAAACTGGATTTTGAAGCTGCTGCTGGCTGCAGGAGAGCGCTGGGTTTGTGCTCCTCTTGGTGCATAAACCCCCAAATTCCCCACTAGGATGCAGAATTCCTGCTCAGTGCCACAGGGAATAATCAGAGCATGGGAAACATGCCTAGATCTTGAGCTTCCAGGTGGAGTGGAAGAGTTTTTATGGCTTTCAATAAACCTTAGACAGTTTCTTCTGTATCTAAGCCAAGTGTGTCATCTTTGAATGTGTTTAGGCTCATAGAAGAGTTTGGGTTGGAAGAACCTTTAAAGATCCTCTACTCCAACCCCCTGCAATGAGCAGGAGGATAATACTGAGAGTTACAATTAAAATTGTCACCTCACTTATGGCAAACCCATGAACAGCAAGTGAACCTCTTTAATTCTGTATCTGTACTGCAGTTTCATGTGCAAATTCAATGTCTTTGTATAAAATGACAACAAAAATCACGTGTGTTTGGTATCAGAATTGTGTGGGGTTATTTAGTCAGTTTTCCAGCTGTGTTTTGATGGGTGTTTGTTGAACACAACGTGGTGAACAACTAATTTCTTTACTCCAGAGCAGCCTCCGGGTGACTCTCGGAGAAAAGTAAGTGACCTGTGCAGGCTGTGGTGCTGTGGTTCATTGCATGGAGATTATTCCTTGTGGAAGTTTGAGTTCTTTTTTTTGTTTGTTTGTTTTTCTTTTTATCTTAGTTCTATATCTCATCTCTGTCTTTAGCTCTACAAGTGTGGACACAGGTTTCACCCTGGAGTGGAGATTTTGGTGTGTGGTTTTGCAAAAACTCACAAAAGAGTTCGGTGATGTGATAATTCTGTGGCAAAAATTTAAACTAAATCTCTTGGATTTGTAGTTGTGTCATCATCCTCTCTCTCCCCCCCAGCCCTTCTCTTTTTGAGGGGTTTTAGAGAATAAAGAGCTTAGTTTTATGGGACTTATGAGGGTTGTGCATGTGCTGGAAGCAGATTGAGATGAGCCTTGTTTTGGTTTTGTTGAAATATTCCCTTGGGGTTGGGATGCTTTTGCTGATTCTCATTTTGATTTTTATAGCTAAAGAAAAGCCTATTTTTTCCCAGCAGAGCTATAGAGGAAGGTAAATAATTGAGGGAGAGAGGTGGGAGGAAAATTATTGTTGGTTATGCTGGGAGTGAGTGAGGGAATGAGGAGGTGGAGAGGAAGGCAGAGAACAAAACTGATGCTCCTCTTCCCGACTGGGATGAGTGTTGTTATGCAAATGCAGATCCTGCCAGTGCCACGAGACTGAGTGTGTGGTGGCATTTGTACCTGTGGCTGCTTTCCAAAGCCTAATTCCCTTGACATCTCTCTGGGATGGGATGCAGAGCCTGGAAAAGCAGCTCTAAACGAGTGTCCTGCCACAAAGCCACTCCCGTGGGACTTCACTTGGCTCCTGACCACACACCAAAGTTGTCCCGTGTGAAACCACCGAGGAGCTTTCTGCAGTAACTCATAAATGACATTTCAAACTCTTGTATGCTGTTGGTAACTTTCTGGTAGAGCTCCTTGTGCATTTTACCTCTGTTGTTGGTCACTGCTAACACGACGAGGAGAGGTGAGTGAAGACCTTGTGCTGGAAGACTTTTACACAGGGAATTCACAGCATTTTTTCCCCATTGCTGTACACATCAGTAAGATTGATTTCATTCTCTGCATCTGTTTTGTTGGCTTGTGCTCTATCTGGAATGGACTTGAACAAAGCAAAGCACTCACATTTTGCTCAGTGTCTCACCAGCTGTCACTGCTCCATAACTGCTTCCCAACCTTCTGCTTCCATGTCCTGGGTGGTGCCTTTCTGCCTCAGAGGGTCCCAGCTGCCTCTTTCCTGACAGGACAGTGTGAAATGGCTGGAAGGAGGGATGAGTGAGACAACAGAGATCAGAATTGTCAGATCTCTCTTTAGGAGGGGTTTGAAATCCTGACTGGAAAGTTGCTGTGTGTTCAGAGCCAAGGAACTGGTAGGACAGGAGAAAGGCTTTGGGGGTCCTGATCCCAGGGGTTATCTGTGCTGAAACAGGACTGAGTTGTTTGAGCTGATAGCATTGATAACAGATCTTAATTCTTGCCTTTCCCCTTGATTGAAAAATACCTCTCTTATTCCCCAAAGCCAGGGGAAAAGGTGGAGCTTGGGAAATATGACTTGTTTGCTCTCCAGGTACACTTAGGCACCCAGAGGTAGCTGACAGCCAGTTCCTGTCTGTGCTCTGTTTTTCAGCTGTCACTTTTTTGTTTCCATCTTACAGGGCTGGAAATAAAAAAGGAGTTTGCTGTCAGGCTAGGAAAAGGCTCAACCTTTTTCTGCTTCATGTACCACCAGGAAAGGTCTGATAAAGGGCATGTGCAGTTGGTGAAGGATGAGGTGGAAAAATTGAGTTGGTGTTCCAAATGTCAGGAGGAGTTAATGGGCTGGAAACTGGAGATAACTAAATACAATTTTGGACACCAGATAAATTTTAATCCCCATTAGGATTCTGTCCTTGTGACTTTTTGGAAGTTTGAGGCACTTGGAAGATGTAAAGGAACTCACAAGAATCATCTGCAAAATCCTGCTTGGAAAGATTCGTGTGTGTGTAACTAAGGCAGGAAGCTTTGTGTCTTCAGGTGGAGTGAAGGGAAGCTGACAGGCTTGGGGATGCTCAGGGGCTTTATATTCCCTGGTTTTTTTCTGATTTTTTTTTCTCCTGGAAGCACTAATGCTTTGCAGTTTATGCTTTCATTTGGAGCTTCTCTTGTCACGCGTGTCTGATTTTCTTCATCACTTCACCATTCAGCTAAGCAGCTCCAGCTGGGCTGGGCTGATCCCAGGGGAGCAGCTGAAAACCAGGAGCCCCTGGAATGCTCCAAGGGAGCAGGGCAGTGCTGTGGACCAGCTTCCCTTTGGCTCAGGCCAAGGAGCTGGAGATCAGTGGGAGAAAGGCAGGTGCTTGGGCTGTCCTGAGGGGTAAAAATTGGCTTTATCCAAACATTCCTGGATAAATTCCTGCCTACTGTGACTGTCAGCCTGTGCTTTGTGACACAGATGTCTGGATCCTCTGAAATGAGGCATCTCCTGGATTGCAGTCGATAAGTGACTGTTGAAGCTTATTTTAACAGCAGTTCTGTGTTCAGTGCTGTCACTGTTTCGAGGTGTGTGCTAACATAAGGCACAGATGAGTTTTCCAGCACGTGATCTTCATTTCTTTTGACCTGATTCTTTTTTTTTTCCCCCCAGACAAATGAGGCGAGCTCCGAGTCGATAGCGTCTTCCCCTAAAAGGGACACCATGAGCAACTTCCTTCCAGACAGCAGCTGCTATGAGTTGCTCACCATCATAGGTAATGCTGCCAGAGCGATGGAGGGTTTCTTGGCCTCCACTTGATTGATTGCTTGTTTTTGGCACTAGATGTGTGTCAGCTCTGAGCTTAACCTCATTTGAATGAAAAATGTGGTGCTCAAGACTTTCAGGGAGGTGTGTGGAGGGTTGGTGCTAGTACAGTCCCCAGGAGCAGCCTGGAACCTGTCCCTGCCCTTGTGGGCCTTGTGGCAGGACAGTATTGCTGGCTGGGAGGATGGGACACATGCCAGGGAAGGCAGGATCTAACCAAAACCAGTCTGAGTGGAATAGGAGTGTAAAGATTACGGAAGGGTCAGGGGTTGGAGGAGTCCTGCAGGAGTGTGTGGTTGTGTTGCTGAGGCTTTAATTCCTTTTCTTCTCAGGCAGAGGCTTTGAAGACCTGATGGTTGTGAACCTGGCGAGGTACAAACCCACGGGAGAGTATGTGACAGTGAGGAGAGTGAACCTGGAGGCCTGCACGAACGAGATGGTCACGTTCCTGCAGGTAGCACCAACCCCTAACACACAGTGCAGCTCTGGGAGGGGACAGCCAGAGCAGTGCTTGTCTGGAGAGTCACATCTCTGCATTTAATCAGCTGATCTTTGCTTGATTTTAGGGGGAACTTCATGTGTCCAAGCTCTTCAACCACCCCAACATTGTGCCATACAAAGCAACTTTCATAGCCGACAATGAGCTGTGGGTAGTGACATCTTTCATGGCCTATGGTAGGTGCAGAGGAGGTTCCTTTGTCTGACCATCATGCTCTGTGCAGTGTTTGTTCTGACCCTTTCTGAGGTGTTTTGCTTCTCTTTAGGTTCTGCAAAAGATCTGATCTGTACCCATTTCATGGATGGGATGAGTGAACTGGCGATCGCTTATATCCTCCGAGGGGTTCTGAAGGCACTCGACTACATCCACCATATGGGCTATGTACACAGGTATGAACAAAGCAAACTGATCCAGTTTCCTTCTGGTGGGACTTCTTGGAAATACTGCTCCGAGGAGAGGAGAGAGAGGATGGTTCAGGAGACACAGAACACACTGAGTTTTGTATTCCTTCGTTGCTAGAGCAAATCAAGTATTGTCCAGTAAAGGCCAGGGAAGCTGACTGTTCCTCCCTTTCTCCCAGGAGTGTTAAAGCTAGCCACATCCTGATCTCTGTGGATGGGAAGGTGTACCTCTCTGGCCTGAGGAGCAACCTGAGTATGATCAACCACGGGCAGCGACTCAAAGTGGTTCATGACTTCCCCAAGTACAGCATCAAAGTGCTGCCGTGGCTCAGCCCCGAGGTCTTGCAGCAGGTGTGTTTGAAGAACTGCTCGTGTTTAGTGACCTGTGGTATCTCTGTGGGATGTTGTGAGTTCTCAGGGGCATCTTCAGGGGGTGTGGGGTGAGGCCACAAGTTGCTTTTTCTCCTGATGAGCTCTATCCTTTTTTTCCAGTCCTTTTTTGCCTTAGGACCAGTGACCCTTAGCAAGGGGAAGACTGTTCCTGTCAGAAGGGGCAGTTGCTGGGCAGCCCAACCTTGTCTTTTCTTTGCCTTCTGAAGAAGGTGTGCAAGGAAAAGGAAGGGGAGAGACTAGAGGGAACTGATCTGGGCAGGGTGCAGTGTGAGTAGGCAGAATTTGATCTATGTGACTAAAGAGTTTTCTTGTAGGAACCTCTACAGATTCTCATTCTCAGGGTGTTGGGTTAGCTGCACCCCAAGGCAGGTGCCCTCCCTGCCAGTGAGCAGATTTCGCTTGCATAAATGTTGCCCTTAACTCTGTGTGTGTGTCAACAAACCAAACCCCTCACTACACCAAACCATCCTGTCTGTGGGTTGTGCTGTTCCTGCTCTGTTCACTTGGGTTTGCTGATCTACAACCAGATCATAACTGTTGGCCCAGTCAGTCACATCTAAATCCACAGGCTAATTTCTCTTTTCCTCCTCACCTAGAATCTCCAGGGATACGATGCAAAGTCTGACATTTACAGCGTGGGGATAACAGCCTGTGAGCTGGCAAATGGGCATGTCCCATTTAAAGACATGCCTTCTACTCAGGTGAGGCCTCAGGGCTGTTCCTTTCCCATCCTTCCTCCTGGCATGGGGTGTGAAGCTCATCCTGCCCACACCAGTGGGAAATCTAACTTACTCTGCCATGTTGTTTATGCCTCTGCTCTTCCAGATGCTGTTGGAAAAGCTGAATGGCACAGTTCCCTGCCTGCTGGACACCACCACGATTCCTGCAGACGAGCTGACCATGAAGACCTCCCGTTCCAGTGCTAATTATGGGATGGGGGAGGGCACAGCCATCAGCAACGCGCGGGCGGCCAACGGGGAGCCAGCCCTGCACCCCTATCTCCGCACCTTCTCCACCTACTTCCACAACTTCGTGGAGCAGTGTCTCCAAAGGAACCCTGACTTCAGGTACAGCCAGGGCAGAGCTGCACTTGGCCCTCTGATGGCACTGGGAGGCAGCAGAGGTTGGGCACTGTTTTCTTCCCAGCAGTGGAGTGGACTGAGGGTGGGGAGAGCAGTGCAGGGGTGAAAAACAAGGGCAGTGTTAACACTTTGAGCATTTTTAAGGAGACCCTGAGGAATTCCTTTCTTTGGGGGGTAGAGTGGTGCTGCAAAGTGAGAAATAAACTGAACAGCTTGAATTTCTGGCCCATGTGAGACTGTGGTTACCCAGTTCCCAGCACTGCAGACAGCTCTCCTCGGCCTGCAGGGAGTGAGTCATGATGGGAAGGGACTAAGTAGTAGTGAGCACAAGGTTTATCTGTAGCTCTGAGACTTCTCCAGTGTTCCCCACTGCTCAGCCGTGTCCTGGGCCACGTGTTGGGGGAGCAAGTAGGTAACTTGAAAGTTCAAAAGAAGGTTGAACTCCTTGCATGAAGAATTATGTGATAATAAATACTTAACAAACAGTGCTACTGGGACAGAAAGGAGAGGCAGAAGGACCTATGTCTCTTATTTCTTCTCCTAACTGACTTCAAGCACTGACACTTTTTCTTCTGCCTCCCTTCGCAGGCCGAGCGCAGGCACTCTGCTCAGTCACCCCTTCTTCAAGCAGGTAAGGAACAGTTATCTGCAGGTCAGGAACAGTTATCTGCAGGTGAAGCACAGTGGCTTTGCTGTAGTTGTCACTGGGGTGGGAATGCTGAGTTGCTGAATTTTTCTGTGGTCTGAAAGGAGGAAGTTAGGTTGGTGACTAATTGTAGTGTGGCTTGGTGATCCTCACGTCCTCCTGGGCTGTTCTGAGAGCATCTCTCAGCTAACAGAGGTTGTAAACAGTTTTTCACCACAGGATGTTGAGGGTGAGGCAGTTTGAACTGGTCCTTAACAAGACCAAACTGGAGTGACGTGCAGCAGGAGGAGAGGGCACAGACTCAAGCTCCATCAGGGGAGGGTTAGGTTGGATATTAGGAAGAGATTTTTTTTTTAGGGAGTGCTCAGTATTGGAATGTGCTGCCCAGGGAGGTGGTGGATTCACCATCCCTGGAGGTTTTCAAGCTGAGACTGGATGTGGCACTTAGTGCCATGGTCTGGTAACCACGGTAGGGTTGACTCAGTGATCTCTGAGGTCTCTTCCAGCCTGGTTGATTGTGTGATTCTGCCCTGCCCTGCAGATCAAGCGCCGCGCGTCCGAAGCACTCCCGGAGCTCCTGCGCCCCGTCACCCCCATCACCAGCTTCGAAGGAACGCGGCCCCAGGACCCCAGTGGCATCTTTGGGCTGGTGTCCAATCTAGAGCAGCTGGATGTGGATGACTGGGAATTCTAGAGAAACAAGTGTTGTAGAAAAACTGAGTGCTGGAGGAGCTTTCTGGACATTGTAATTTATTGGTCCTGCTCATAAAAGCTGATGAATGTTACACGCAGAAGAGTTTACAGGTCCTTGGGAAGGAACTGCCTGTTTACTAATGAAGTAGCTTGGAAAAAAATGGACAGACCTGAGCTGGGGAAGGATCAACCCAAGGAACTGTGGAGAATTCCAGAAGGTGCAGTGCCCGGAGCCTCTGTTCCTGCAGCTGAGCATGGGTAGATCACTCGAGGGGGTTGAGTGAGTGAGTTATGGTCTCTATTTATGTGTTTCTAAAATCACTGGCTTCCTCCTATCACAGCTGAGGCTGCATGTCCCTGCCCTCCCTGGTTCCTTCTCCTCTAAGGGTGCCTTAGTGTTCAGGGGAGCTGGGCAGCTCTTACTTTGGGGCATTCTCTTAGAACTAGTCAGATTCCTCTAGCAGTGTTGTCACAGGACAAGGTTTGATGGAGGAAAAAAGGGGATTATGTTCTTAATTATGTTCTTTGTGATGGAAAACGGGAGATCAAAGCCAACCTGATGCTATTCCAGGATGTATTCCTCTGATTGTTCCAGCTCTGGAGAGAGTTTCTGAGCACTCTGAGCTAGGCCAGGCCTTCCAGTCCCCCCTCCCAGCTGCCTGGGGCAGTGTGGGA